TTTTACGTATTGTATTTTAACTTAAAAATTCTTCAAAAACATTTAAGAAAACCCAAGTAAAATCCCATTTATTTGATTACTTTTTGTGTTTTAAATATGCATCTTAAAACGAAAATTGAAATCTCTTGATCACCCAAACTGTTAATTTCTTAATTAAATATTACAATTCCACTATTGTGAACTTTTTTTTTTCACGCGTATTATTTATTTGGGTTAAATATGTTTTTAGTTCCTAAACTATTTGTTGTTTTTGGTTTTCGTCCCTCTTTCAAAATAAGATATAATCGAAACTCTAGTTTTAGTTCTCGAAAACTAACTTCGAAAACTACCACATTTTTAACGGTGTTAGTTTTCGAGGACTAAGACCAAAATTTTGAAAAAAATGAGAATCAAATTTGTACCTTATTTTGAAAGAGGAACGAAAACAAAAAACGACCAATAATTTAGGGACTAAAAACATATTTAACCCTATTTATTTTACTATACTCTTACACGATCATAAACAATGAGAATAATATATTTAGTTGAATTATTATCACTATTTAACATTATCTCATAGAACAATAATCATCACGATTATTCCTGCCATTAACATTTTATTTGCATTTTTATTACATTACCAAAATATCTCTCTCTCTCTCTCTCTCTCTATATATATATATATATATATTTGAACTTTTTTATGTTTTTATCTTGAAAAAAGAAAGTTCTACTTATGTTGTGGCAATTTGTTTTTGGTGAAAAAAGCACCATTACGCTAAAGAGTTTCTCTCCTTAAACAATGGAGATTTAAACTTGGGTAGCCTATCCCAAGTATAGATTCGAAATTTGCTCAAATTAAATTTGAAAACGGATACTTCTTTAATCAGAAATTTGAAATTTGACCAATTAAATTAGCAATTTTTTGTAGAGCATGTGATTGATTTTCAAACACAATCCTCGAAATCCTGAACCCTGTCATTAGTTTTATTTTGTTTGCGCGTGATTAAGTTGCCAAATGCACTAAAATGCTGAGCAAAAACAACTGTATAGTGCAAGAAAATACAAATATTTTCTTGCCTTAAAAGAGACAAGTTTAAAATTACGTAACATTCCATTTCCAAGTACAAATTTGAAATTGGCACAAATAAATCGACAGTTATTTTTCAAGAGGTATCATGGAAATTGATTTTCTAGCACATTCCTCCAAATCACGAATATCAGTACTAATTCGTGGTACTCGTTAACATTTCTTACCAAATTCAATAGCTGTGATTCAACATTTTACGTCCAAAAAATGGCATTATTATCGTGTTAAAAATAGTATTTGTTCCATTGAATAAGGTAAGTTTTAAATGGTGTTTTGAAGAATAATTTTGAAATGTGGAGCAGAATTGGAAAATTTTTCATTAACAATTTGCACGATCATGGTTGGGAATTGGGACTGGTTTGGGTCCGCTAGTTGCAAACGACAGATCCAGTGACCGTTTGAATTCAAATTCAAACCCAAAGCTCCAATTCTCTGCTTCTCTCCATGCTTACGTGGCCGTGGCAGCCAATCAGATCACAGAACGGCAGAGCGCTGTTAAAACGAATTTGAAAACATAGGCAGAAGCGGGGCCCGCATGTGCGCCCCCCGCTCCTCATCAAGCCCTGATCTACGGTCCAGATGCTTCGCCATTTCAAACCTTCTTCTCCCCCGCCTCATTATTAAATTGTATAAATAAATTCACTCTATTTATTTCACTCACATTCGCGCACACCCTCTCTCTCTCTCTCTCTTTTCGCTGCCAAAGTCTCTAAAAAACAAAGAAGCATTCGAAGCTTAAAGCACAAAAGACAGTAACGTTCTCTTTCTTGCCTCCTTCTTGAATCTTGTACACAGCAAGAGGCAGGGAAGCCAAAATTCAAAATGACCACACACAATCGTCGTTCGTCGTTTTCCTCCTCGACGACGTCGTCTTTGGCGAAGCGCCATGCATCCACCACCTCTTCCTCCTCCACCTCATCCTCTTTAGCGGCTCCTACAAACGTGCCAAAGAAGCGTCCACCTCTCTCTAACCTCACCAACACCGTCGCTCACCGCAACTCGTCCTCTTCGGTACTAATTCAATCTTTCAACTAATTCTGCAAAATTAATACTCCGCAAACATCACTAACTGTTGCTTCTTGCGAATTTCGCATTGCTAGGTCCCGTGCGCAGCTAAACTCGCGAAGACGAAGAAAGAGGTTGTTCCGCCCTTCTCAGGCAACAAAAGGCCCACGCTGGTGAATGTCAAACCTACTAATGCGGTTGTTTTTCCCAAGGCTAATTCTCTCCCTCCGAGGAACGAAGCTCCTCCTCCTCCAGTTGTTGTCACTGTTACTGTTCCGCCTCCGGTGCTGGATGTTTCACCTTGTAAATCAGATGCAATGTCGGTTTCTATGGATGAGTCGATGTCTTCTTGTGATTCGTTCAAGAGCCCTGACATTGAATATGTGGACAATAGTGATGTGGCGGCTGTTGATTCAATTGAGAGGAAAACTTTCAGCAATCTCAACATATCTGATTCTACCGAATCAGGTTTCATTTTGTTCACTTCTACTAGAAATATAACTATTTAGTCTGTTTTTTTAATTAAATGTATGGCTTCTGATTTGTTGATATTGATTGTTGTGTTTGCAGGCAACATTTGTAGTAGAGACATACTTGTTGAGTTGGAAAAAGGGGACAAGTTTGTCAATGTTGATAACAATTACGCTGATCCTCAGCTCTGTGCATCCTTTGCTTGTGATATCTACAAGCACCTTCGTGCATCTGAGGTAAAGTTAAGCTACATTTGAAAAATATATGCATTGAGCTCTGTTTTTTTTGGTTTTATGATCAGAATAAGCACGTCCAGTGTGTCTATTAAAATTTTTATTTTAGAATCTGGTATTGGTCTAATCTTTTCCGGTTTTTGAAATATTAGGCAAAGAAAAGGCCTTCCACAGACTTCATGGAGAGAATTCAGAAGGACATAAACCCCAGTATGCGTGCAATATTGATTGACTGGCTTGTGGAGGTAATTGATGTTTGTTGATAGCTAACACATGTTAAATTCAAACATTATTATATTGCAAATAGGAATATTTAGGTAATGTTTTATTCTTGGGGGAATGTTGCTATTCTTTCCAGTTCAGTGCCACACCTGTTTTTGTATATGGCTTCATGCTAAATTAATTTTCTAATTGCAGGTGGCTGAAGAGTATAGACTAGTACCCGATACATTGTATTTGACGGTAAACTACATTGATCGTTATCTTTCAGGAAATGTGATGAACAGACAAAGGCTACAATTACTTGGTGTTGCCTCCATGATGATTGCCTCGTAAGGAGTCATACAAGTCTCTCTAATTTTTCTCATTAATGGGTTTCTAGTATTGTTGCTTCTAGCTTTGAAACAAAGGTAGTAATGCAGTTATAATATTGGTTTTGGGTATTTGTTTGCAGTAAATATGAGGAGATTTGTGCACCTCAGGTGGAGGAATTTTGTTACATTACTGATAACACGTACTTCAAAGAAGAGGTTTGGTTTGAATTCTTTTGGGGCTTCAAGTTGTTTATGTATATGTAGTTGAGGAGCACACATCTCAAGCAGAATCATTGCAGGTTTTGCAGATGGAATCTGCTGTCCTAAATTTTCTCAAGTTCGAAATGACAGCCCCAACGGTAAAATGTTTCTTAAGGTACTGTAGTTTATAAGGGATGAATATGAGATTGATGTTTGAAGTTATTTGAAGCCGTTCTAATATAAAACTATTGTCATTCTCGGTATTATTTACAGAAGATTTGTACGTGCTGCTCAAGGAGTCGACGAGGTACCTTTATCTTCTTTGCTTAGTTTGGACGTTTAAATAATTTGGTTGTAAACTCACCATCGCGCTCTTTCTTATAACGTTGATTTTAAATATATGAATTTGGATAAAAACCAAGTGTGAAGTAATTAAGGGAGATGATATGTTGTCAAACTATAATTTTTCGTAATGAAAACTACCAAACAAAAGAAAAACCAGTAAGTGGTGCTGGGTCTAACACGTGTAATCAGCGTTAGGCATAAATTTGGAAAACAAATTGTTTATTTTCAAAACAGCAGAGATAAATTCTTTTAAAAAAAGGAAGAGGCAGTTTCTTAAAAATAAGCTGAACCAAACACGCATTCAACCAAAAACGTAAGCTACTAATTGTAAATTTGTCGATCAACTAACACTTTTGTGTAGTTTTTGCACACTGCATTTATTTATTTCCATACATCAGTAAATTTTGAGACACTGACCAAAACCATACCTGTGGGCTTGTATACGGAATGCATACATGCCACATACCCGTTATGTATATTTCTTTTAAATTTAATTGATTGTAAACAATAAAGATACAATTTTTATAAATTTAATAATTATTTTTATTAATCAGTATTATAAAATTATAAAATATATTTTTAATTTTTTTTATCACAAAGAAAGAAAGTGCACACATGTATGTCTAGGTACCACGCTATAGTTTTTCATTTGTTTTTAATATGAAATCCAATTCTGAAGTGGTTTCATTTGTTTTTCTTTTTTCAGGTCGCTTCGCTGCAACTTGAGTGCTTGACAAACTATATTGCGGAATTGTCTCTTTTGGAATACAGTATGCTTTGTTATGCTCCATCACTTATAGCCGCTTCTGCAATTTTTCTGGCCAAATTTATACTTTTCCCTTCAACGAAACCATGGGTAAGCTGCTATATCAAACAGTTTCTGTTTCCGTTTAGTAATTTTAACTTTTGTAAACTTGACTTGCTGTGTCTGTTTTCTGCAACAGAATTCCACATTGCAACATTACACGCTCTACCAGGCTTCTGATCTGTGTGTTTGCGTGAAGGATCTCCACCGCCTATGTGGTAACAGCTCTAACTCAAATTTGCCAGCAATAAGGGAGAAATATAGCCAGCACAAGGTAAACAACTTCCGCTAAATTTGTTGCTCCTATCTATGATATGTTTTGAGTGATTTCTCACAATTTGTTTGTGTTTCAGTACAAATACGTGGCCAAGAAGTACTGCCCTCCTTCAATACCCCCAGAATTTTTCCTGAGTTGAGCAGGGATATAGGCTTAGATTGACATAACTTCTGGTCTCCAGAAAAGAGGTTCTCTTACACTGTACAATGTAGTTGCCAACCCTTCCATCTTAATTAGAATTCTTGTATCTGCTTTTATTGAGGTGCACACTCTGTACCCTGAAATTTACACAAAAAAAATTCAGAAGCTTCAAGAAGCAACTTGTATTATTAGCTACAGCTTCAGTAGCATCATTAATGGCTAAGAGAGCCGATGCTTAAATTTTGTCCAATTTACCAAGTGTGTCACACCAGGTAGGAGACTATGCTTTTTGAGTCATCCTCTAGATATTTATGGATAATTATGGCCATTTAGTAACATAAATTATGAGCATCTCCGTACTCATCATCACCACCAACAAAGTATTGACATGTAAATATGTAATAATCCTTCTTGATGAATTTAAAATATGGATTACCTTAAATCTACTAAGTCAAATTATATCCTACACTTCGAGAATATTTCTGAAAACAAATGAATATTCCTTCAGCGAGATTATTCTATCAGCAAATATCTCGGCCCAGGTTCAACACATGTTCGACTGAAATTCTTTCGGACAAAGTCTTAACCAGCTAATCTACGCAGAGTTACGAATCACACAGTTGGTAGCATTATGTACAAAACAAAGCCAAAATTATGATTAGAAGATGCTAAACCACATTTCCTAGAACACAAACTCCTTTTCCAAATTTGAGTGTCAGAAAATTATAAGAATCTTACGAAACCAAAAAATAGGTAAGAATGCTAAACCATATTAGTGATTTAATAGGTCCAACCGATCTTGAAATAACAGTCATTGTCTTTTATTACATAATCTATTATGTAAAATACAGCCTGCTGCATAATCCAAGCAACGAAGTAATTTTCTTTTGTGCTTTTGTTAGTGTCATACAATGTTACAGAGTAGAGTGAGACTCAGACACACTCATGTCGTGTCGGACATTTAGTTTAACCATAACAATGATTGTGGGACTCTCAACATTATGCTGAATATAAAAAACTTATGAGTTACGAGTGAGCATTTTGATTCAACCTATGGCAGATCGTTATCCAATTGAGATTCGCTCACTCCATTTGGATGCTATAATATTCCCCATCTTGCAGATCAATTTCACAGAGAAAATGCTGTCTGGGGAAAGAAGATCGAACATGAAAATAACAATGGAAAAAGGAAAGGAAAGGTACAATAGTAAATGACAAGATAGAGAAATGACAAAAGTTTGAATTTCAAATACATCTTCTCAATCTTTCACTTTTTCCCAAATCTCTTTCTTCGAACTCGAATGTCCTCTCTCTTGGCATATTACAACGTCTTATCTTATCCCAATATTTTCTATGATATAGGAATAAATTATATTGCTTGAAACCGGCAAAATTAGATGAAAATTAAAAGGATTAAATATGTTTCTTGTGCGTTAATTTTTATTGAAAATTGGAATTAGTACTTATTTGAATCTTTGGACCAATTTAATCCTGAAACGAAATGTGTCAATTTAGTCATTTTAACTAAATTTTGTTAACTTTATTTGATGTGTTTCAAACGCATTTCTTAATTATCATTGACGCAAAAATGTGTCAAATGGTGTAAACAATTCAAATGCTATCATAAAATGCATTTAAAATATTAAATAAACCTAACAAAATTTAGTTAAAAGGACTAAATTCACACATTTCTAAACTTTGGGGACTAAATTAGGACAAAGTTTTGAAGAAAGACTAATTTCAATTTTCACTGAAAGTAAAGGGACAAAAGACATATTTAGTTTTACTATATTCAATATGATATCTAGAGCCTAAAGTTTTTGTAAGTCAATATTTGAATTTTGAATTCATTGAGAGAGAATGTTTTTAGTTCTTATCATAGACACGTGTTCTTATCAAAGATTAAGATATTTGTGACAAATCTTCATTGACTCATTAATCTGCTAGATTCTAATTTTCTTTGTTTATGCTACGAGATGAAGCAAATTAAAAAATAATCATACTCTTTCCAGGATAGGATCATATCATTTGGGTAGTAATCAACTGCATTGAGGTCGCCTTCTTCTCCTCTTTCAGTACTTGTGTTTGTTCACTTTATTGGAGAACCTTGGATTTTTAATATTTTTCTCTCTCCATGTATTTTTCCACCACTTCTTCTAGTAGCGTGCGTAGACTAATACGCTCTTTTCAATGAATTTTTCAAATGGTATAAGGATCATCATAATTCTAGTTTCATTGCTTTTGTTGCATGCACATGTCTATCTTTTGTTGGCCTAACTCAACCTTCTTCTCTTGGACCTTAGGTTCTTGACTCAAGTGCCACATGTTATATTACTGGTAACAAATCTTTGTTTTCTTCTTTATCCTCTTCGGATAATGGTTGATGAGTCTAGGATCTTATCTCATGGTTTGGTAATGTTAATATTTTTTCATCTTCAACCATTGACAATGTTCTTTATGTCCTTTGGTCTTCCTTTAACTTATTGTCCATTAGTCATTTAACTTGTTCTCTTGATCATGTTATTTCTTTTACCAAAATTTTTGTTTGTTTACAAGAATGGAGTTTGGGACAAATAATCGACATCGAGTGTGAGTTTTATGGCCTTTATCATCTCCACCTTTCTACATATCTTGTCATAGTTATAGAGTCTCCATCTCTTTTTCATTCTCAATTAGGTTATCCCACTATTATCAAATTGCAACAACTTTCTAGTTTGTCAAATTTATCTAATTTGTTGTCTAAGTCAAGTCAATTAGGAAAGCATAATCGTAGTTCCTTTCCTCAAAGTGTCTCACAATATGCTACCTCACCTTTTGCGTCACTTTAACATTGGGGGACCTAGTTGTGTTGAGTTTAATTTAGGCTTTCACCATTTTATTTCTTTTATTGATGATTATTCTATATGCATTTGTTTGTTTTTAACCAAAAATCATTCTGAGATATTTTCTATATTTTAATATTTTTATAATAAAATTAAAACTCAGTTTGGGATTTGTATTCGAACTTTGTGAAGTGAAATAGTCGTGAATGCCCTCCCGATTCTTTTAAACATTTTATGACTTCTCATGACATTCTTCACCAAACTTCTTGTACTTATACAATTTAATAAAACGAGATGGTTGAGCGCATAAATAAACATTTTGTTGAAATAATTCATCACTTTTAGTTTATGGTGAGATTCTTCAACATTTTTGGGTTATTCTATTCTTAATCCATATTATCTTATTAATCACATACTATCTTTCATTTCAAATAAGAAAATCTTTCATTCTATTTTATTTCCTCATGCACCTCTACATCCTCATCGATTAAAGTTTTTAAGTCTATATATTTTGTTCATAAATTTAGATATTGGTTTTAATAAATTATCTTCTAGATTACAAAAATATTTTTTTTTTAGGATTTAATCGATCAGAAAAAGATATAAATGTTTCTTTCTTTATCATAACCATGATTTTAGATATTACTTTCAACGAGTAATATCTAATATTGAAGTTAGTTTGGTCTAAAGTTCAAAATAATAAATATGTAATAATAACTTATCGTCTTGAATTTATATTTATAACTTTTACAGTTAACTTTTTTATTATGATGTGTCTAACAACTATTCAAACTCCACTAACTTTAATTAGAATAATCTTAATTAATCAGAATTATATTATACTTTAAATTTATCCACTTTGATCGATTAATATGATGAAATCCCACCTTTGGGTTGGTCTTGGAGTGAAGTCGTTGGACATACTGGATAGTTATTATTTTGTTTCCGTGTTGGTTCTTTGTAGTAGCAGATGCAATGGAGAAAGAGAAGAGGAAGAATGAAGTAACGAGTTATTTATTTAATGCCTTCCAAGTTTGATGAAAACTAAACCTAGAAGTGGTGTGGTACAGAGTGTTATATTAGAAAGTGCACTAGAGAGCAGCAGCGAAAGCTGAGGAGGAATTGGGCATAATGTTGAGCCAATGGCAATCTTCGAAGGAGCAGTAGGGTCCACCCTTTGCCATCTCAACATTCATTGGCCGTATATACTTGGGTGACCAAGCAGGTGTTCCATCCTCGTACGAGTTATGGGTCAGTCTTTCTATACCCGACCCATCCAATCTAACCCTGAATATTTCACCATAGGGCTGGTAGTGATGCGGGTTCGAGATTGGCTCCGCGGATATACCCGCATAGTCCGAAGTAAACGTTATGCTCTTCCCATCGGGGCTAAAATACGGGTGGTTCGTCCTCCCGCCCGACCCGCTCTCAATCACCTTCCGCAGCCCGCTTCCATCCGGGTGGATCAGGTACAACTCGAAACTCCCGGTTCCCGGCGCATGCCGGTCCGACGCGAAAGCGATCCATTTCCCATCCGGTGACCAGCTGCACATGGTGTCAGTCCACGGACCCTCCGTCAATCTTTGAAGCCCCTTACTCTCTCCATCAACAGCGTCCATTATGTAAAGATTCTTATGACCCGACCTACCCGACCGAAACACGATCCGTTTCCCGTCAGGCGAGGGTGACGGAAACGCGTTGTTCTTTCCGTCCAAGGTCAACCTCTTCACACTGTTCTCGTTATCAACGTCAATGGACACGATATCAACCTGCGAGCTCTCAGAGGCAAAGGTTTCCCCAATCGCAGTGTATATCACACCGGGTCGAACCCGGTCCCAAGCCGTGGAAAACGCCAACGCATTGGAAACCTTACGCAGGTTCGAGCCATCCCGGTTCACCACGTAAATCCCTGGAAGGTTAACATACGCGATGCGGTCTCCGGAGGGTGAGAAAACCGGGAAAGAACCGACGAACCGGAATAGAGATAGACCGGGGACGGGGCTCCGAACGTTTTCGAGTAAAAACTGGGGGCTGCTGTCAGCGTTGGGTTCTCCTCTGCACTTGTGGTAGCCTACACGAGATGCATCGGGTGAGATGAAGGGGTTGAGGTGGTGAGAACGAGGTGAGATCAACCGAGTCAGCTCCGTGAATTCGTTATTCACCAGGTTGAATAATTCGATGTGACGAAAGCTTGAGCCCGGTCTTCTCGTTGCGACGGCGATGAAATTGTGGTTGTCTGGGGAGGTGGCGGGTGTGAAGGCGTGGAGACCTGGTGGAGTGACTCGCTCGATGGTAACAGAGTCAACGGAAACGGGACCGTTGGAGGG